CCACCGCAGCCTGCACAGTTAGGGGAGAATGACCTCCAGGGGGGCTCCCGGGTATTGCACAAGGTCCTCCTGGTTTATGGCTCCCGAATGGCTCCTGCGTCCCTAGTTAGCTCGACCTCTGCATCCTTGGGCGTCGGTACCCTCGTGATCTCCGAGTCCTTGTTCATCAGCTGCTCCGCCGCGGACTCCGGATCTCTCTGGCTCTCAAGGGCAGGGTGAAGAGCGACCTGCTGTGTGGCATGTTTTCACAGAGGTTCTCCATGCGGGGAGGGTTCACGCGCATCTCCAGGCGGGCCTGCTGTGTCGGTGCTTCTCTGTGGCGTGGCGGTGCTCGACCGCAGCAGCGGCCGGCCCAAGGGCCGGCGTGCGTCTCCGCGCTGCTTCCCGGGTGCCTGCGGCCTGCGGCAGGGCTGCGCTGGGCGCACGAGGACCTGCGCGCCCCATCCGCGTGTACTTCTAAAGATGTTTTTATTAACATAGCTTTACAGGTATTAGTTGATTTTTTTTGTATTTTAGAATTTATGAAAAATTCATCATCCATTCTGATCTCAACAAAGCTGCCAGTTGGAAAAGATTAACTGAGGAATTTCTAAATGCATCACTGCCCAGCATAGAGGAAATAAAGGTACACCTTCAGTTTTGCAATCTTTGTGTATTTCAGGATTTCTAATCTGATTATTGTCAGCTTGCCTCTGTTAATATTTAAGTGTTGATCCTATTTTAGTATTGTCCACTGGCTACTGCAGTCTCCTGGAAATGGACTGAAGTATTCCCATCAAACTAAGTGTGCCTTAGGTCTGTTGTGAAACAACATGTGCTTGCTTAAAAAATACCCTACAGACAGTGAAAAGGCCAACATACAGAGACTGCTTTTCTTTAAAGAGGAGGGATGTATGAGAATTGCTGTAAATTACCACTAGAAAGTATTGAGACTTGAAGATTCTGGGGCATGGCATGAATTGATTTCTGGTAAAGTCAGAGAACTTAAGTTTATGAACTGTCTGTGGAATAAATACACACTATAACACTCAGGCAACATTTTTCACTTTTCAACCATGTATGTGCAGAGCTTGTGCTGAATGGAAATATATATAATCTTCACAGAAGTTATTTTGGCATTCTTCAGAATTCTAAATGCAGATATTCTTTGGCTTAGTGTTTCACTTATTAGGAATTTATCAAACAAATTATCAAACATAACTATGATGCAACGTAAGTTTGTGATAGCAAAAGATTGGAAAAAATCTACATGCTATTAGTAGGAAACTGGTTAAGTATAATGTGGTATATCTGTGTTCAGCTGTTGAGCATGTAGGGCCAGGGGTGTAGCTCATTGGCATCAGTGCTTTCCTAGCAAGCCTGAGGTCATGAGTTCGATTCCCAGTACCAAAAAAAAAAGATATACCATACACAGAAAAATTATTAGGGCCAGGAATATAGCTCAGTGGCACAGCACCTGCCTAGCAAGTGAGAGGTCATGAGTTCAATTCCCAGTACAAAAAAATTAATTAAATAAACTGTTGAGCATGTTAGGGTTCGTGATGCATATTGCCATAGAATAATCCATTTTTTAATAATGATATATGCTAAAAATATTACATTTGTTTTGTAAGTAAAAATTGTCATCCAGTTAGATATCTTACACTTGTTAGAAATATAGTGCACAAACTTCGGGTTGACTTTGAGGTTGCTTATGGATAAGCGTTTGAACTCTGAAAAAGTTTTAGAGTTAGGATTTATGTAGGCATAACTCATGGTGTCTTAGGCCAGGAAACAAAACGGGAACATAGCGGTCATGAGGTTATATGTCACTGCTAATCTAGCTTGGAAAGTACTTACATCCTCAGTGATTCCTGTTCTTCATTTTTTGTTCTAAAGACAGATGCTCATTATTCCATTCTGTCGCTCCTCCTGTGTCTTTCTGATTCTCCTTCAAACAGCAGTTATGTGGAAACACCAAGAGATAAAGAAGTGGGTATGTTTCACTTTAACATATGAGAAATTGTTTTATTAATTCCTAGACATTGAGATTTTATTAAAAGTAAAAATCTATAAAACTTAAGTATTCCTGTTGCTTTGAATGCCGTTGCAAAATTTCATTTAAAATACATGAATTCTCACTTCACAAGTTAACATGTTCCTGCTGGTTAAAACTACCCATGGTATAAGGGTAACTGACCCATGCTGTCTGATTGGACAGTCGTGTACTGCCAGTGGTTCAGACCTGCCTGGCAGCAAGACATGAATTATGGCCCTGTCATGGACATGGTAAGTGGCCTTCATTGCATAAAGAGAAAAATTACTTTTGAGAGTGAGTTAAAGTGCAAAATTTTTAGAATATCAATTTATCAGGCATTTCAGTAGTTTTGAAGCTTTGTTTCCTCGAGTATATTTTATTTTGAGTTTTGCATAGATTTTTTTTCCGGAAGTTTTAGGTTTTTTCCCCAGATATTTATGATAAAGCTAATGAGGTTCTTCTGTTATGTTTTAGAAAAAGAAGATGATTTTGACTGGGGAAAATACTTGATGGAAGGTGAAGAAATTGACCTTGGTCCAAACATACACACACCAGTAAGTGGGAGTGGTTTTGTTACTGAGAATATCAATATGTGCCCAGACGCTGTAGGTTATTGTAATGAGTCCTTCTACCCCAGAGCATTCTACCTAAGACAGGAGTGCTCTTTCCTAAGCTAGCACAGCTCGTATGGGGGCTTACTGAGACCATGTGCAGGCCAGTAGCACCAGGAAGTTGAAGGGGGTCAGCACAGATCCCTTCCTCAGCAATGCGCTTGGGTATTTTAGAGCTCAAAATCACTTCATTCAGGAGATTTAAGGAAGAAGTTTATTTGATTCTTGCTTTTCTGTGCATGTTGTCTCACATTGTTGGATTTCTTCTGAAACTGTCTTAATTATTAAACCTAGACAACTCTAATTATCGTATTCTCAGCTGTTTGCTTTGTACATCAGAATTGGTCTGAAGACAGTGAAGATGAAGACACTCAGCAGCCCTTGAGTCGGGAGGACTCTGGGATCCAGGTGGACCGGACTCCGCTGGAAGAACAAGATGCGCACAGAAAACTGGGTCTGCACGTCAGCTGGAAAGGTGTGTGGGCTGCAGTTGGAGGCTGGCGACTTCTCACAGGAAGCAGGGCAGGCCCCGAGACCCATTCCGGTGTTTAGGCTGCTGGTGAACTCTGCTGTCCTTGAGAACGAACCTAGCCCTTCGCGAAGCTTGTTCATCGAGTGCAAAGTAGTGCTAGAGGAAACCCTGGGCTTGACCCTTAGCACCACTGAAAAGAAAGAAGTAGCACTATAGAATCAATGTGAAAAGGGAGTGTATAGCACAATTCTGTTTATTTTAAGTAGTGCTGATAATCTCGTTAGTCCTAAATGTTTCCAGTTTCTTTTTATTAAAGAAAGATTGACTTTGCTGAGGACAAAAAGGAAAAAGATTTATATAATTTATTTGTTAACTTGAGTGTCCATTCAGTTTTTAGTGAGCAACTTTTTCTAAAGTGTAGAAAAAGAGCTAAGTGTGGTGGCAGATGTCTGTAACCCCAGCACTCAGGAGGCTGAGGCAGGAGGATCGTTGTGAGTGCCAGGCCAGCCTTAGGTACGTAATGAGTTCAAGGTCAGCCTGAATTGCATAGTGAGACCCTGTCTCAAAAAGACAAAAAACAGAAATTGTAGAAAGAGTTGGAAGCTCATATATTAGATTATCCAAACCTACATTTCATTTTGGAGATAAGAACACAAAAGGTGATTTTTCCATGGCTACACCACCGTCAGGCCAATACCAGCAGCCACGCCATTCCCTACTCTCAAAAATTTGGCAAATGTACTTAAGTTAGTTAAAGCTGACTTCAGAGACCAACATGGTGGCACAAACCAGCACTCAGGGAGGCTGAAGCAGGGGGATCACACGCTTGAGACCAGCCTGGCTTACACAGTGAGTTCAAGGCCAGCCTGGACTACATAGCGAGACCCTGCCTCAAAAAAAAAAGCTAACTTCAGGTCCTAACAGTTTTCTTTTCTTTTTAATTCTTGAGTTGGACGCTCATGTTACTCCGTGCAGAGCACGCTGTCATCACTAATCCGTACAGACCCTGTGGTTTTACTTTGTCTGCTTTTGTTATTTCTGATTCCCTCTATTTCCCTGGCTGTCCCAGCCCAGTTGTAGACACCTGTTCTGATGGGCTTTCTGTGCTCTTTGTGTGTTTGATGTTTCAGCTGTGTAGCTGGTGTCATGCTATGTGTAAATACGGTTCTGTTTCATTTTTCTTCCAACTTTCAAGGAAGCTGTCCATGTTACCATATGAACAACAACTCCTTTGTTCCTAATTTCTGCGTAGTGTTGTGCAGTTTGCAGCTGCCGTACTTTCCCCCCCAGTGAGTGTCTGCAGTCACCATCGCGGCTGCCTTGATGTCCTGAGTCAACTCAAAACGTGTACCTTCCATGGTCATTCGACTTAGGGGAGGAGCCAGCAGTCGCGCAGAGACAGATCTGGTGTGTAAGGGTTTGAAAACCCCCTGGACTGTTCTTATGAGCCTGCCTGTCCACGGGGTGGCTCTTGACCGCAGCATTCACTGTCTTCTGTAACACACCATGGAAACACTCAGAAAAGAGGACTCCCAGAGCTACTTCAGAAAGTGGCAAGAATGGAACGTGTGTGTCAGTTACTTTTCTCTTATTGCTGAGACAAAATACCCAACACCCAAAGTTAGAAGAGGAAAGGTTTATTTAGCTCACAGTGTGCAGAGGTTTCAGTTCATAATCTGCTGGCTCCAAGGCAGGGTGGCTCAGCAGAGAGGCATGGCAGAGGAGAAACAGTTCACGCTGGGTAGAAGGTAGTGAAGCAAGTAAGCATGGGACAAGACCAGCCTCTGTCTGACCATTATATTGTATCCAGAGTACTGGGACTAGGGCAGTGCCAAACCAATCAGTGGACTGATTTAGGAATCACACACCCTTAATCCCAGTACCCTTAATCCTAGCATTGCACCATGAATCAGTTACACATGCTCCAGCCACCTCTGAAAAAGCCCTACCTGTGCTGCTTGAGGCTTTGGGGGGACATCTAGACACAAGCCATAGCAGTGGGGATATGTATGTTTAAAGTGAGGCAGGGCATTTTGAGGGGGGTTAATGACAGTGTCTTTTCCTGTAATATTTACTCACATCCACTGTATATTTTGAGTGCCCCTTCTATTCCCTCATTGATAGGCCCCAAGTTGACTTTGGTGCGGATGCAACCCTGAGTGCTCTGACCGTTCTTAACTTTTGGTTTTTTTCCGGTACCAGGAATCGAACTCACGACCTTGTGCTTCCCAGGCACGCGCTGTGCCGCTGAGCTAAATCCCCAGCCCCGTTCTTGACTTTTGTGAGAGTTTGGCTATGTTAAAGTTCTTGCCCTGTGATCTCAGTTCTTGGTAAAATCCACTCATCTGACTTGGGAATTGTTTTCATTTGCGTTAGTATGCCTGCTGGTGATTCAGTCCTTCCTCGTGTACTCCTTGGTCTCTTGAGCTTGCCCTCGCGTGAATTACTTGCCCCTCAGCATCCCTGACTCAGTTTTTGGGTTCATGTCCTTCCTGCCCCCTTCCCCAGTTCTGTGAGGCGTCACTGTTAAGACACAGCAGGTTCTGGTAGGCAGTCATCGTGCTGTTAGTATTTTTCACAACATCCTTCAGAAAGAATCCATTTTTTTAAATGTGTCATTGCATTCAGTCAAACCAGTGAATTCTTTTGTATGGCCAGTGGGTCTCGAAATTCTTTTCCACAAAAGCTTTCCTTTAAGTTTTGTTTTCCCCGGCCCCTTCACCAGCCACAGGTCGCTGTCTTCAGGGGTTGTGAAATAGCAGTGGCTCAGGTTTTCCGTGTTTGGCTCTCACAAGCAGGGTCTTCCTTTCCCTTCCACTGTATTTTTCTGCCTTGAAAGGGTGGCATTTCTTTCAGGATCAGCACATGTGTGTGTCAGCTGCCTTTATAACCTGGTGAGTGTAAGCTCAGGAGTCAGCAGTTGCTTGGCGGCATGCAGCAGGGCCTTGCTCGTTACTGGTGATAACAGCAGTCTGAGCAGACTGAGTCCTGCGCTTACACAGTGACCAGTGGTTAGTGCTGAAGCCCTCGCTGCACTGCGAGTGGGCAGTGCTCCGTGTGCACGCTGGCTTTCTGAAGGGGCTCACATCCTCGGTAACTCCTTATTCCAGCCGTGTTGGGCCAGGGTCCACAGCACTTCATAATGGCACTTTTTAATTTACAAGAGAGCCACACAAATCTAATGTCTTACCTTTTCACACATCTGAATTTTTTCCTACCTAATTTGTTTTAGTTATTATTATAGCTCAGTTTGGCTTCTTAAGTTTTCTAAGCATGAAGTATGTTGGTCATCTCATTCTTGTTTTTTGGAGTGTTTTTTCTTACTGAGACAAGGTCTCACTATGCAATTCAGGCTGGCTTTGAACCCACTACAGAACCCAGGCTGGCCTCAAACTGGTGGCAACCCTCCTGCCTTGGCCTCCCCACTGCCGGGATTACGGGTGTACACCACCTCACCTAGTAGGTCATCTTCATTCTTGATGTAAGTTTACATACAAAAAATATTGCAGGGGCCAGAGTTATAGCTCAGTGGCATAAGCACCTGCTTGGCAAGCATGAAGTCATGAGTGTGATTCCCTGTATTATAAAAAAAAATATATATATATATATATATTGCAGAGGGAAAGTTTTTCTGGATTATTTAAGACCAGAACATCTATCACTGTTTTCATTCAGTGCAATGATGTGTGCCTTGAGAACTTAGTATATTACAAGGTATGATACAGATTTTCCTTTTTTGTGTACATGTAATATTTGCAGGTTGAATTCCCGTCCATGAGTGATAGAAGTTTTTCAAGGTACTTTCTATATTACCATCACTTACTCGTGCTAACTGTTTAAAATGTTAGGCCTGCCGCGCCCCCAGCAACTAGAAGACGGCACTGGAGGAGTCTTAGAGGGTTCTGGAACTCTCCGTGTCCCACATGGTTTAATTTTGATGTAGACAATGCCTCCACACTGGATTGTACAAGGCATGTGATTTGAGAGCTTTATTTTGTGATTTATTGTGTTTTAAATAAAACTTCTGATTGTTTTGTATTACTTGCATTGAGGCCCACTTTGATGTGTAAAGGGGAGGTTAAAGGGTGCAGCCTGTTCTTCTCCACCTTGTGACCCGGCTTTCCCAGCCGCAGGGCAGCTAAGATCCGTCCTTGCGGCACTCCTCTGTGGCTGTCCTTTCCTGTGAGCCAGCTTCTCAGACACACAGCTTACCCAGACCCTCCGTCTGCCCCTTAGCGCAGGGCTGTGTAGGAGCAGGCTTTCTAGTGCTGTGGCTTTCTTTTGTCTTAATACATGCAAAGCGCGTCTTCTCCGGAGCACTTGGCTCTCTTTCAAAATTGGCTGAGTTATTTGTTATCCTTTATTTTTCTGTGGACATTTTGAAAGCAGTATTAAGTTTCCTTAATCTAGATGGAGTTTTGTTTGGACTTTCAGTGAACTTGCAGATTTAACTTGAGGATTTTCATCCTTATTTTAATAAAGTCTGTACTTACTCTACTTCGGTATGTTTTACTAGGTTTTGGAATTTTTCTTTTAAAAGAGCTCAAGTAGTCAGACACAGTGGTCCATAATCCCAGCAATCTTGGAGGCTGAGGCAGGAGGATAACAAGTTGGAGCCCAGGCCAGGCAGTGTAGTAACTTAACAAGACCCTGTCTCTAAAACGCTGAAAAGGGGGCCCTCAGGTATCCATTGGTTAATTTCTACATGGGTTACAGTTTCTGTTGTTAGGAATGCATAGGGTAAGCAGCAGCAGTAGGAGGTCCCTGGACTGTTATCCCAAGAGAGTGCACCCCTGAACCCCTCCACTAGTTGTGACAGTTATTTGTTACAAGTTTTGAGTAGGTAGCATTTATCAAATTAAGACAGTTTTCTTTTATTCCTTTTTTTCTAGGACTGTTTAATTGTAAATCAGTGTTGAACTTTACCAGATGCTTTTCTTTTTCTATGTGGTTGTAAGGTAGTCTTGTCATTTTTCTTTCACCCTACTGACTGCAGTAATAAATTCTCTGATATTTCAATCATCTTGAATTCCTGAGCTGAACTTCTTTGATCATTCGTGTTTAGTATATTGTCAGGTCGGGTTAGCTTTTGTTTTTATTAGTATGTGTCTGCTGTACGTAGTGATTACGTTCATTGTGGGGAGTTGGTACGAGTACCTAACACATCTTAGTCCCCCCATTGGCTACTTTATAGTGTATTTTTCATCTTTATTCTTGAAGAATTTCTTCTCACATCTTTATCAGATTTCACAATCACAGATACAGTAACCTCATAAAATGTTAGCTTTTCCTTTTTCTCTTTTCTGGAACAACCTATGTAAAATAGAGGTTATCTAACCCTCGGGAAGGGTGTGGGTGGGATTGGTTAGGAAGGTCTTCGGTTACCGTTTTGGGTTCTTTGCTTACTGAAGTGTTGGAATATACCATTTATATTGTGTATTGCAAAGGTCATTTAGAAATTGAGCCGTTGTTTTTACTCAGCTGAGTTGTTTCTGGCCAGTGGCATTTAAATGTTGTGTGTCGCCGTGTGTGCCTCGGAGTGAGCCACTCTCCGTGTGTTAGGTGCGTGACTGTGAAGCACGGCTCGTGAGAGGGCCGTTGTCACATGCGTCTGGGTGAAGATAGAAGGCCGAGCGCTGTGTCTGTCTGCTGTCTCCCGTCACTCTCCCTCACTCCGTTTTCCTCCGGCAGACGAGCCCAGTAGCCGCAGCTGGCTGGAGCAGCACGTGGTTCGTCTGTACTGGACGTCCAGAGCCTCGAGGAGCCCACACAGTTTGCATTTGCACTCCAACCTCGCTGCGGTCTGGTGAGAAATGCAACTTTTCATTTCGTGTAATGATGGAAGAAACTTTGACGTTTAAATATTTGTGACTTAAATCAACTACTTCCTTGACCCGTTGAAGGGATGGGAGGGGAATGGGTAGAAAAAGCATCAAGTTATGTCTTGTACAGGAACAAATTCTCTATGGTGAGTGTGATCACTACGCACATATAAAATGTACCAGTAAAATCTGGTTGAAGAAAAAAAATAAAGTCTTACTTCAGCCATGGGAGGGATAAAAAAATAAATCACGTACTTCCTGAAATTTAAACTTATTTGTTGTTACTGCTTTTAAACAGTTGTACATGAGCAGTTTTTAACTATTAAAATCATGAAATTATTACTTAATTATACACTTTTGATTTTTTATTGTTATTTTCAATGTGACTGGATTGGTATATATTAGACCACTATTTAATTTCTGTTTTAGTGAAGTTATTACAACACACTGTTTTCCCCAAAATAACCACATTAGACAGTTTCAAACATTTGCTTAAATCAGTAATAAATAGTACAGTTAGAATGTCTTGGAAAAATACTTCACTGAGACAGTTGCAGTGAACGTGTGAAAAGTGACTGTGGAGGGCATTTATGAAGGTGTCATCCCTGAGGTCTTGGGTGCCTGTTTGCTGATTCCTGCTCATGTTAGCACAGCGGTGGCTGTGTTCCTGCAGATAAGTAGCTTTGCCTGGGGGGAAGTGTTCCCACTGACCTTCGATGTCTGCTACCTCCTAGGGACCAGCACCTGTACAGCAGTGATCCGTTGTATGTTCCTGAGGACAAGGTTGTTGTCACTGAGACACAGGTTATTCGGGAAACTCTGTGGTAAGACCTATGAATCTCATCCATAGTCTGTCAGACTTGTGAGAAGCGAAACTACTTTTGTAAAGTGCTAAGGAGTTTTCCACCTGCAAACAGAAACAGCCATTAGGGAGGAAGTTCAGACTTCAGATTTGACTGTAGAATTGGGAGGTCTTGATGTATTTACTTCTTTGCCACTTTTAAGTAATTTAGTGTATGATTTTATTGCATTACACCATCACTTTTTTAATATCCGAGTTCCTGGCAGAGTTTGATGCTGGGTGTTTTTGGATAGAGCTCCTCAGTGAGCTTTACCATGCCAGAGCCTGAGGCCAAGAGTGTACTGGAGTATGGAGCCGGGGCCTAGCACTCTTGTCATGATGTGTGCCGTTGATGTTCTGACGGGTGTGACCATCTCCCTGGGTCGTGGAGTGTAGGGGAGGTACTTTGATAACTTGCTTGGGACTTCTTTCTAAGATGACCCTGGAATATCTTGAGTCTAAAGGTAATCAGATAAAAAGATTAGTATCTTTCATTTCCTTGTCATCTGACCTGCTCATCCTCTATTTTGAGTCTTTACTAAAAATTTCTTAGGTATACTATAATAAATACTTTTCTAGATTTAACATGCTCTCATCTGTTACTTCATTTCAGGTTACTTTCAGGGGTTAAAAAGCTCTTTATATTTCAAGTGATAGATGGGAAGGTGACTGTGAGAAACAATATTATAGTGACTCATCTGACACATGTGAGTTTTAATAGAATTTTAATTTTAATAATAGAATTTGTATAAATGCAGCAATGCAACTTTAAAACATTTTATAATATTGTTAACTTAAATATATTTAAGATCCAAAAAGTAAAATTAAGTTGTGCATCTTTACAGTGCTTAGCAGTTTTTTAATATTGTTTATGACAGGTTTAACTTTAATTTGCATTCTCTGCTTTTTTTTCTTTCATCCTGCATTGGGAAAGCTATGTGCTATAAATTCTTTGCCTGTAGTTCGTGTTTTTAAAAACTAGAAGCCACAACTCTGTATCACATAGAAATGAATGCTTACTTTCCCTTTCCATGTAAACTAGGTATTTGTTGTGTTACTTTGTCTTCTGTTCAGCATAGAGTTTAATGTGATGACAGGACCAGCTGAATGTGAATGTGTTCAAGACTGCCTTTAGGTGACTATGGTTTGCTTCTCTCGCAGAGCTGTTTGCGATCTGTGCTGGAACAAATAGCGGCCTATGGCCAGGTGGTGTTCCGGCTCCAGGAGTTCATCGACGACGTCATGGGACACAGCTCTGAAAGCCTGTTACCTGGGGACAGCTGCACTCCTAAGAAGTCAGCTGAGGCTCCCTTCAGAACCTACCAGGCTTTCATGTGGGCCCTGTACAAGTATTTCATCAGCTTCAAGGAAGAGCTTACCGAAATTGAGAAGTGCATCATCAGTAATGGTATTTAGATGCTCTTTCATTCCTCAGACACAGCTCCTATTAAGTTACATGGCAAATAAATAATTCTCAGGGATGCATTCACTTTTTTAGATTATTTTAAATTTATATTTGTAAGCTAGTTAAGTCTCAAAAAGTTAAAAAAAAGCTGGGCGTGGTGGCACATGCCTGTAATCCCAGCACTCAGGAGGCTGAGGCAGGAGACTTGTTTTGAGCTCAAGACCAGCCTGGGCTACATAGCGAGTTCAAGGCCAGCCTGGGCTACGTAGCAAGACCCTGTCTCAAAAAAAAAAACTCAAAACAGTCCAGTAGAATGCAGGCCCCTTTGCAGTCACAGTCCAGTAGAATGCAGGCCCCTTTGCAGTCAGTCCCACTCTGCAGAGACAGCCAGCTCCCTGGCTACCTGTGCACCCCTCAGAAGCTACGTGGAGGCGTGCAGGTGGCACACAGACAGACACCCATCCGTGGGGGTCACCACGCTCCTCTCTCCAGGTTGTCTTCTAACTTAATTTTGAGGGTTCTGCCATGTAAGTATAGGAAAGCTCTGCTCCTTTCTACAGCGTGTGTTTCAGTGGGTGTCTGCAGCGCAGCCCCTCCTTCTTACGCTGTTCCCATTCTCCTGTTGAAGCGCTGACTGCTTGCACATTTCAGTGAGCGGCACAGCAACCTGTTCCCTACGGGGCAGACTCTTTCAGATGGAGCTGCTGAGTCACAGAGTATGTGATGGCTCTCATGATTCTGTCACACTGCTCTTCCGCAAGGTGCAGATTAATTAATTTGTACTCTTGTGAGCAGTGCATGAATACTTATTTCTTCATACTCTTGCCACCCCCTTATAGGGTACCCCAATAGGGTATCAAGCTTTGGTTTATCACTGATACGACAGGATAAAATGGTCAGGCACTGTGATTTCCAGCCCCCTCTCACACTCAGGTCCTGCAGAGTGGTACAGGAGGTCCTGTGTGTCCATCCCCTGCTTCCCACAGTGGTGAAACTGGCCGCAGTTTAGGATAGGACCAAAACTGGGAAACTGACATGGCCCGGCTCGTTAGCCTTCTGCAGACCCAGCATGGCTACACCAGCCTTCCGTGCTTTGGGCAGGAGCACCTAGCATCTTCGTGAGCTGTGCCATTTTATCTCATGTTTGGATTAAGATCTATTTGAGATCAGAAACTGCTATGCCAAGCGTGGTGGCGCACACCTTAATCCCAGCACTCGGGAGGCTGAGGCAGGAGGATTGTTGCGAGTTTGAGAAAAGCCTGGGCTACAAAGTGAGCTCAAGGCCAGCCTGAACGGCATAGCGAGACCCTGTCTCAGAAAGACAAAAAAGAAAGAAATTGCTGTCACCACACAGGGACTTGCCCAAGCCACCCCCTTATAGTCACAGCCTTGCCTGCTCCTTCACTGCCTGTGTAGATTTAATACATGTTCTTTTATTATAGGTAAGGTAGGGTGCCTTTCTGTGTGTTCAGTGACATGTCAGTTCCTTCGTATTACTTTTCTGCTGAGTTGCCTTTTTCTCCTCAGCTTGCTGAGTTCTTCTTCCTTGGGGAAATGAACTCCTTGTGATGTGAAATAAAAACCCACGCTCCTCATTTTGCCATTCCTCTTCATAAGCTGGAAGAGTGGCTTAGTACTGTCAGCATTTGTGTCACATCTGGCCACAGGTGTTTGTCTCTGCTGTTGAGTTTATTTGTTGCTGTTGCAGATACCACGATAACTCTTGCAATAGTGGTAGACAAGTTGTCACCTCGACTGGCTCAGCTCAACGTTTTGAACAAAGTGTTCAGCACTGGAGTTGCAGAGGTTCCACCAGACACTCGGAATGTCGTGCGGGCATCTCACCTGCTCAACACGCTGTACAAGGCCATTCTTGAGTACGACAATGTTGGAGAAGCCTCTGAGCAAACTGTACGTGGGACCCCTGCCCGGTCTGATGTGCATGGATGGCACAGGAGTGGTGGGAGCCTGTCGTGTTTATTTGTTAAGTGACGCTTGAATTCTGGTATGTGAGGCAGTTGTCCCGAGATTTAAAGTTGGCTTCCAAAGGAAACTGGCTTTTTAGCTCTAGATACCCAGAAGGGTGAAACAAGGACAAAGCAGGATGTACCGTGCACTTAGCTGACTTTTATACAGGTAATTGTGATAACCTTTTTCTAACTTTAAAAAGCCCACAGGTCTCTGATGCGATGTGCAGTAATACCCTGGTTCACAAGTGCTGTTCACAAGCAGAAGCATTGGGCAGAATGTTGTGTCCATTCATGAACTCCACACCAGGCGACAGATACGCCCGTGGCGTTCTTGTTCACACAAACACAAGCGCAAGCCTGGCCAGCTTCCCCAGAATCGTAGAACAGATTAAGTCTATGAGTCAAGGTACCACTGTACCCAAAATAGTCACACTCATAGAAACAGGAACGGTGACTGCGGGGGCAGGAGATGGGGAACTGGTTAATGGTTTCAGTGTTGTATTATGAAACCGTTCTGGGCACCTATTTTACAACAGTGTGAATATATTTAGTACCATTGAACATATGTTAAAATGGTTATGATGGTAAATTTCATGTTGAATATTTTTTACCAGTTTTTATAAAGTACAAATCTAACTAGAGACTGTAATCTAGTTTGTACATTTTGGATGTGTTTCCATTAGCTGATAAAACTTTCTGTTTCGTACCATTTTAGTATTGTAGTTCAGTATAGCAGAGATTGGTTTCTTTCTGCCATGCAGGTTTTTCCCCTACTGGGAACCACAGGAGAAAGAATCTCTTCCTCATTTTGCTTTTTGGTTTGTTTGGTTTGGGGTTTTTTTGTTGGTTTTTTTGGTATTTTGAGACAGGGTGTCGCTATGCAGTTCAGACTGGCTTTGAGTTCACTATGTAGCCCAGACTGGCCTTGCACTCACGGTGATCCTGCCTCAGCCTCCCGAGTGCTGGGATTACGGGCGTGCACCACCTCACCCGACATCCTCATTCTTACTGGACATTTGACTTCCTGTTACAGTCTGGGCAGAGTGCAGCCACACCCAGGTTATGCCTCTGTCATTCTCAGGAGGGTCCTAACGTGAATGGCAAACAGCATAATCACCCGTGGGTAAACGTTGCAAGAGGACTTTATAGTATAGACTTTAGAGATCTTCATTTCTTAGTTTGTTTTAAAAAGAAATAGAGGGGCCAAGGATTTAGCTCAGTGACACAGCACCTGCCTGGCAAGCTTGAGATCCTGAGTTTGATTCCCAGTACCCAAAAAAAGCAAATAGAAATCCAGGCAGCTTTTAAAGGCACCTTGGAAATGCTGAGACCTTGTCTCAGACGCGTGATACGCTGTGCACACTGACCTGACCCCCAGCCACGCCTTGTCGCAGGTTTCCCTCCTCTTCTCTCTCTGGGTGGAGACGGTGCGGCCCTACCTGCAGACTGTGGACGAGTGGATTGTGCACGGGCACCTGTGGGACAGCGCCAAGGAGTTCATCATACAGAGGTGCGGTGCAGCGCGGGCATGGCTGCTTCCCCACATGCTTTGTCAGTTCCTCGTGGCGCTGAGACAGCGCGGTTTGAATGACTGGGCTGTGTTGCCAGTTTAGCAAAGGCATGTGCTGTTGCTCCTTTATGGGGATGGTCAGGTACCAGTCAGTTAAAGTACGTGTGAGCCAGGCGTGGTGGTGCACACGTGTAATCCCAGCATGCTGAGAGGCTGAGGCAGAAGGATCATAAGTTTGAGCCCAGCCTGGAGAACTTAGTGACTGAGCAAGACCCTGTCTCAAATATGAAAAAATAAATAAATAACACAAATTTTAAAAGAACTGGAGCTTGCCATCCTAGTGCATGCCCCATAACACCAGCACTGGAGAGGCTGAGGCAGGAGGAATACCATGAGTTTAAGGCCAGCCTAGGTTACACAGTGAGTTCAAGGCTGGCCTGAGCTACATAGCGAGACCCCGTCTCAAAAAGGCAGGAGGCACTGGGGATGTGACCCACTGTGAAGGCTCTGGCTTCCGTTCCCAGTTCCGGGGGAAGAGTGTGCAGCTGTCAAGTCACAGCTTTTCAGAGCACAAGCACCCCTTGGACGCAGAGGTGAGCACTCCACCACTGAGCGACATCCCCAGCGCCCCACGCTCTTCTCCTTTGACTGTTGCTGGTTGCGGGGGTTGTCGTGGGGGTTTGGGGTTTTTGTTTTATTTTGTTTTTGTAACCAACCTGCTCAGATGGGCTGTTTCTACGCTGGGCATCCACTGGCTCGTAAGGAAAGAACTGTTGTGTCTAAGGAGCCTAGAAGGCGGCACTGCTGGCTCGCTGAGCACGGTGCAGACTGCCCTTCCTTCAGCTCAATCTTTCATTTTGCAAGTCCTGGGAATTCAGCCCAGCCTTCACACTGAGCTACATCCCCAACTTACTGATTGATTAAATTTTTTTATTTATGACGCAGGGTGTTGCTCATTGCTCTTGCTGGGTTTAAACTTGCATTCCTCCTGCCTCAGCCTCCAGAGTGAGGATTACAGGTGAATGCTGCATACCGAGCTCAGATAACCGTACTTCTGCCGCTAGGTCCTGTCTTACGGCTCCCACATGAGAATGTTGGGAAGTACGCAGTGTTCTGACCGTCCTGAGGCGATGCGTGCCCACGGTTTCCCTGCTGAAAGCAGGCCAGCTGGGAAGCCGGGAGGGCTCGGTGATAGAGCTCGGCTCAGCACACACACCGCCTGGGTTCGGTCTCCAGGACCAAAGGAGGGCGGTAGGGAAGTCTGGACGTGGCTCTCACAGCAGACAGTCTAATGAGAAAACCTCTGTTTTGAAGGAGGATCAAATTAGTCATCTTTTAATTCTGACTTAGGAAACCCATTTCCACTTAAGTATTGTCTGTAGTACTCAAAGTGTTTATCTACTGCTGTCAGTAAAAGCTGCCATGTTGGGGCTGGGGATTTAGCTCAGCGGCACAGCATCTGCCTGGCAAGTGCAAGGTCGTGAGTTCAATTCCCAGTACCGGAAAACAAACAAACAAACAAAAAAAACTGCTGTGTTGCCTGAAGATTGCTGTTGATTTTACAGGTTTTTGGATTATGTAGACAACATTCCTAAGTGTGGACAAGGTACACTGCTGTTTGTAGTGAAGATAAGTTAAAGTTTTTAATTCTTCTGAAAATCATATTACAGGGTACATGTGTACCCATGTTTATAGCAGCACAGTTTATAATAGCTAGATCTTGGAAACTGTGTCCATCCAGAGATCAGTGGGTAAGGAAAATGGGGACTTATACACAATGGAATATTACTCTGCCGTAAAGAAAGGTAAACTTGAGGCATTTGTAGATAAATAGATACAGCTTGAGAACGTAATGTTACGTGAAATAAGTCAGACACACAAGCTCAAATGTCTTATGGTTTCTCTTGTACGATAAACGCAGTGCACACAAATGAAGAGCAAAATAAAAAAAGAGTAAAAGGAAATAGGGAAAAGTTCAAAATACATATTCCCTTGTTTTAAAAATATTTGAACATACATGCTAATTTGTTCCCTTTATACTAAAAGCTTATCTTAGTTCCTTGAAAGGAAAGTTTGTGTTACTGTTTCTGCCCCGTGAGGACCTTTCTGAGTTACGTCCTGTACGGGGCACCTGCTGTGCTTCGGTAGTGCACAGTGCAGAAACTGTTGCTCTTCTCTCGTCACCGCAATGCCTTGGCTCACGGGCACTTCAGTTTGCTGACAGTTCCGTTCTCACAGGCGCTCAACAGTATTTTGCTTCCATTTATGAATTCCACATCAAGCAGCAGACACCGCTACATCCCTCTTCCCCAAAATCATAAAACAAACAAGGTTCATGAGCTGAGGTACCACTGTGTTCGGGTGTGAAAATGCTTTTTTATTTCATAAAAAAGGAAGTTTTCTGAATCTCCACAGGAATAAAAATGTGCCAGTAAATCACAGAGACTTCTGGTATGCAACGTACACGCTGTACAGCGTGTCGGAAAAGACGGAGAACGAGGAGAAGCTGAGCGAGGGCTCCAGCCCGAGTCCGGGCAGCGAGCCGGCAGCCGGCAGCAGGCAGCACACCATGGTGTCCTTCCTCAAGCCTGTGCTCAAGCAGATCATCATGGCTGGCAAGTCCATGCAGCTGCTGCGGAACCTGCACTGCGCCGCTGGCGCCGCAGGCCAGGCGGCCGCCCCAGGTACCCACCTCAGCACGCTCGCCATCCTGAGGGGCCTCCTCGCTTTCTCCCGCCAGAGTCAGAGCCTCTGGTAGTACCAATCATCACCATGAATGAGTGGATAGTCATGCTGCTCTTGGTTGAGAAAACGATTCTACACTGCATCTGGAAAGGCAGTGATGAGGAGCTACTAATACCTGCGCGTCTTTCTCGTTTTGTTATCTTTTTGAGACAGGGTCTCCCTGTGTAGTTCAGGCTGGCTTTGAACTCACTGTGTAGCCCTGCCTCAGCCTCCTGAGGGCTGGGATAACAGACGTGTATCACCACACCTGGCTTATGTGCGTCTTTCTTACCCTGAATTCCTCAGGCAGAGTTCACTGGCACCTTTTTTTTCTTTTTTTCTTTTTTTTCTTGGAGACAGGGTCTTACTACATAGTTCTAGCTGGCCTTAACTCACTCTGTAGCCCAGGCTAGCCTTGTACTCACAGCGATCCTTCTGCCTCAGTGTCCCAAGTGCTGGGATTATACCTGTGTGATCTGTAATTTCTTTCTTTTTTCTTTTTCTTTTAAAGAGTAAAAGAAGGGTAACAAAATAAAAGAGGAGCTTACCAAATTACAGACAAAGTGGTAGGAAATTATCAATGGTTATTGTTTTACATATTGTTGTCTACAAGATAGTTTCTCAGGAAAACAAATAGACAAATAATAGTGAGTTACAGACAAAAGAGGTAGGAGATTATCAATAGTTGTTGTATTATACTTTGGTATCTTCAAAGTGGCTTCTAAAGAAAATAAATAGAGCTATACATGAGTGACCTATTGAATAATCATTAACTATTCTCAATGGTTGTTGTAGGAAACACATAATAATAAACATGCATCCATTTACGAAATAGGATAGGAACAATACAAACATTACAGAGTTATGGATAGATTAGTAGGAAATTATCAATGACTGCTGTAATACATGATGGTATCTTCAAAGTGGTTTCTCAGAAAGACAGAGATAAGCAAGAAGGATCTAACAAGAAGTTACAGCCTGAGGGTTGTCAAAAATAGCATATTACCTCCTCACCAGTGCCTCCTGTCACTGAGGTGTGACAGCTGGAGGGAAGGCCAGGATTGAAAAGAAGGACCGAGAGACTTGCACCTGTGACTAGCAGCAGGCTGTTTTCTTGTTCCTCCGTAGTCATGATTACCTAGGGCTCCTCCATGGAGATGATGGTCTGGCCAGAGGGAGAAGACAGAGTATGCCCCGGGCCCTCTCATTGCTGTTGGACTAACTGGTAGGATGGGTCTGAGCTCTGGGGCCTCTGCTTCAGAGGGCAGACCGATCTCCAGTGGTCACCTTGATCTGCAATTTCTTAATGCAGTACAGCACCTAAGAATTTGCTGATGAATACATCCAACTTGATCATAGATTACAAGAAAATCTTGATGCAATTTTCGCTCTTTTTTGTTGCAATTTAATTAATATACTTAAATGTTTGTCAGCTGGCTAAAAAGGTGTGAAAGGTATAGCTGTAACCTTATTTCTTTGGCTTGAAAATCACCTCTGTGTTATGTTAATTATTTCACATTATTGTATCTACTTTAAGGTTTTTTTTTTTAAATTTTAAAATTAAAAGGAAAATATTAACAGACAGACAACATTTTACAAAATAGCAAAGGAACAGTTAAGACAGTACGGAGTTACAAACAAAGTGGTAGGGAATTAACAATGCTTGTTGTATTACATATTGATATCTTCAAAGTGGTTTCTCATGAAAACAGATATAGAAATGCAATGCTGATCAACCAAGGACTCATTGACAGTTTCTTTCAGCAAAGAAATACAAGACAGTAGAACAGCCGTGTTGACTATCCTGCCTATACATACATACACACTTTCTCCTTCTTTCCCTTCTCTGTATCTACTTTAAATAATATTTAACTTCGTGGACTATTTCCTTTTTCACTGGATAATAAACTATAAACTGCATTCCAGGGCAGTGTTGGCTATGTTTTTTCCAGTGAAATTTGACTTCTATATGTCTTATCATGGTTTTATGCATATGGTAGTATCTTAACCTTCAAGTGTCCTACTTTAGATATGACTCCATTCCAAATAAAATTAGCATATCTGTTGTGATATTTAACTGAACTTTGTAGTTTCTTAACAGAAAATACAACATTTTTAGTTTTGCTGCACTGTAAAGGTAAAAGAAACAAGGACAGTCTTTCTCGATCAAACCAAGAAATACCAGGCTTTGTTCAGATTAAAGTACTCAGTATTTGTTAGTATTACTTGCGCAAAATATTTCCTCTTACATATTTCTTTATGCTTCAGATGCAGAGAGAAAAAGCTTGTACACCCTCTTTCTGGAATCTGTCCAGTCACGTCTTCGATGTGGGGAAGATTCTGCAGCACAGGTCCTCACTGAGCAGCAGGCAGCCAAGGAGAACCTGATTAAGATGCAGTCCATTGCAGAAGGGCATCTGGAACTGGAGGACACCCATGACCCCCTGCTGGCCATGAACTTTGCAAGGTAACCCGGGCCTGTAGATGTCCAGGGTCGAAATGGCACCATCTGTGCAGCTCTATTTTTGTAACTCTTTATTTTTGCCAGATAGGGCTTTCTGGCCTTAAGAACAAAAATCGTGTAGCCTGTCCTTTCTGAGGACCAGAGTATAAGACATTGTGTTCACCTAGTACGTGTACCGTTTGACTTCCTGTTTGTATGCCAATGTACAGGTCTGACATGAGAACTTGACAGTGTGCCCTCAGGCTCCTGAGGGATATGCTTCTAAAAGCCTGGGCATGTCTCAGACATAAAATCAGTCCTGGGCTTGGGGCATTAATGTCCGTATGGTGCCATAGTGTCTGACGACTGGCACCTGCTGTGTGCAGCCCTAGTAGGAACTCCTGTACCTGACCCTAAACACAGCAGCAACTCTGAAAGAATGTTCTGGAAGGAAGATTCCTTTTTTGCAATAATTGGAAGTAAAAATGGGACTTGGAGTTTGAGAATTCCGTTGACAACCATTCATTAAATAGATGGCTCACATTTTGTCTTGAAGGTTGTATTTGGAGCAAAGTGACTTTCATGAGAAGTTTGCTGGTGGTGATATATGTATGGATAGGTCGTCAGAATCTGTGACATGCCAGACTTTTGAGTTAACACTGAGGTCTTGCCTCTATCCACATATTGAGAAGCAGTATCTAGATTGCTGTGGAAATCTCATGCAAACCTTAAAAAGAGATTACAGGTAAAGAGCAGTAATTTCATTTTGGAAATAATCTGTAAGTAATTATACTTATTTGTGTGTGTGTGTGTGTTTGAGACAGGGTCTCGGTATGCAGTTCAGGCTGGCCTTGAGCTCACTTTGTAGCCCAGGCTGGTCTTGAACTTGTAACGGTCTGCCTCAGCCTCCCGAGTGCTGGGATTACAGGCGTGGGCTACCACGCCCGGCTTGTAAGTAATTATACTTTAAGAACAGTTGGTTGGCCTTTTTTTTTCTGGGGCTGGGGATGGAACCCAGTGCCATACATAAAATTCCTTTAAAATATGTTTCTCTGTTGAGGGAGGAGGAGATGACTTGGTTTTGTTTTGTTCATTAGGGTCTTGCTATGTGGTCTAGGCTGGCCTCAAACTAAGGCTTGTATTTCAAGTTAATTTTTCATTACGGTAGGTGTACTAGCCCCTTTCACACGGCTGGGACAGAGTACTTGACACCTACAACTAAGGAAGAGCAGTTCATAGGCCTCATGACCCTTGGTCAGCTGGCTTTAAGCGGAGCTGACCTGGCAGAAGGGCGGGGCAGAGGAACACTGCTCATGAGGCAATGATGCGGTAGCCACGAAGCCAAGTGAAGGCAGTGGCAGCGGCAGGATCAGGAATGCCCCCTGCCAGGGCGCGTCCCTGGTGACCCCTCTGAGCAGGCCCCGCCCCTGACAGCACAGGGAGCTCGAGGGCGTCGTGGGCGGGTCCCAAGTGAGCACCCCTGCTGCAGTCGCCTTCCAGACCCTGGAGACGGGCGTTTCAGATCTGAACCGTAACTAGGGGTAAACAGTCTTCTTTGAGAGGCTCCGTTAACCATCAGTGTTTTCTTAGCTATGCTGTGAAATCCAATTCTTTATTCCTAAGACTATCTCAAAGAAATATAGGGGAAAAGTGGAAAAAATTTGTATAAGAATATCCATACAAAGTTTGCTGCAGAATGATAAACGTAAAATTTCTTGGTAATAGAGGACGAGTTCTTTAAAGTATGTCCACGTGTGAATTTTGTGACGTTCGTAGAAATAGGTTGACGCAGTTTTAAATAATGTGAACTGTCCTTATAGCTTAAAAAGTAATGTATATAATACAGTAGAAACTAATTCTGTAAGTGCTTAGAGAAAAAGACTAGAACTAAACATTCCCAAAATGTTAACACTGTCCTTGTGGACGGTGAGATAGATCATCTTTGTTTGATTTATTTCTGAAATTTTGCCCAGTTTCCTATAATATCATAGGAAGATATCATTCCTTTCTGGTTATTAAAGGAAAACACACTATTTTCATTATTGAGGGGGAGAAAATCTTTAAGAGGCATTGCTGTCTCTGACTGTAGTAAATGTACAGCATAAGCCTGTGCCCCGAGGCCGGCAGCATGTCGGGGGGGGAGCCTGGACCCTGCCTCCTGAACATGCGGGTGCCCTGCCCCTGTCCTCTGCCCATGCAGGTTGGTGGAGTACTTGCAGGCCATGAGAAATTTTTTCCTAATGGAAGGTGGAGACACCATGTATGACTTCTACACATCAATTTTTGATAAAATAAGAGAAAAGGAGCCCTGGCAGAATGTGTCTTTTCTCAACGTCCAGCTCCAAGAAGCAGTCGGACAGCGTTACCCTGAAGACAGTTCACGGTAAGGTATGGGAGGCACCTTCTATTTTAAGGGATTGTAGAACATCACGTGGCGAGAAGTCCTCTATGAATGTTTGTGTTTATTTTATCCTGTCATTGCCCCTAGGAGTTTTACTAATTATTTTACAAATTAGAAAAACCGTGGCATGTTGGCATGCATGTCCACCCTCCCACCTACATGAGAGGCTGAGGCAGGAGAATTGCATGAGCTCAGGGACTTGAAGCCCACCTGGGCAACGTAAGACCCGTATCTGCCTCAAAACAAAAAGAGGGAGGGAAGGAGAGTAGGAGAGAAAGAGTAAATGGAGGCAGCAGGTAGCTAAGTGACTTGCCAGAGGAGAAAGACAGTCAGGTGGCGCTGTCCAGCCGTCAGCGTCCGACGGCCCCTCTGCTGTCCCCGCGGTCGGCACCCTGGTGGGCCGTGCGCTGTCTCGCAAGGAGAGCGCTTGTTCTGCCTGGCTGCGTTTCCCCAGCCCTTGTCCTGTGTGTGACATACCTGCTGTGTTCACTCCTGCTGTACTCCTCGGAGCTGGGACTGCTCCTGCTTCCCGTGCTGCCCCGCCCACTGCCCTGCCCAGGCGCTGTGCCTCTCAAGGTGGGCAGTGGTCTGCTGTTACGGCAGCCCCGTCTCCACCGTGCCAGGGGGCGGGGCAGCTCTGCACTGGGCCGGAGTCTGGAGGGAGGACAGTTTGGGTCCCTGTTACCTGCTTACCAGAGCCCCTGACAGAATACACAGTGGGTGCCTACCAGGCACGCGTGCATCCTGCAGTGACAGACTGCGAGGAGGTAAAATAGTTCTGTGCAGTGGAATGAGTCAGCTAAGCCGTGACCACACACACCCTTACCTCTGTGGTTCTTAGGTAACCCTCACGTCTGCTCCTTCCCTAGTGTGCATCCGGGTACCGTGTGTGTGTGTGTGTGTGTGTGTGTGTGTGTGTGTGTCTGTGTGTCTGTGTGTCTGTCTGTCTCCTCCTACATCCTGGGCAAGGGCTCTACCACTGGGCTGTACACAGCCCCAGCCATTCTTATCTTGAGACAGGGTCCTACTGAGTTGCCTCAGCCTCCCAAGTAGCTGAGATCACAGGTATGCGCCAGTACCACCACACCCCATTCCAGGTACCATCTTCTAGTACCCTGTAACTGGAGAGTAACATCACTTCTCAGTGCCTCAGCAGGACGGAGCTGAGCTAAGAACTCGTGTGTGCCTTGCACATGGCCATCTTCCTGTTCGGCGTGAGCTGCTCTCTTCTGTGGAAGCCGTCCCCAGCCATCTCGGGAGTGCACGGATAAAGCGCGGCGGAGCGAGCCCGTGCCTTGGCCTGGCTGTGGGAGTGGCTGTGCTCGCTGCATGCCGGTCACGTAGCAGTCACTCTTCTGCCCTCCCTGTCCTGAACCTGCTCGGAAGACTCTGTTTTCTGCCTAGATTTTACCAGAATTAAGCTCCCTGCCTGTCTCGGTTACTTTTCTCTCGTTGCTGGGACAAAATACCTGACGCCCAAAATGAAGGAAGGAAAGGTTTATTTCGCTT